GGGTAGAACAAGAAGCAATGGGTGGAAACTAATCAAGGAGAGAAGCAATTTAGAACTGAGGAGAAATTTCCTGACAGTTAGAACAATTAATCAGTAGAACAACTTACCTCCAGAAGTTGTAAATGCTCCAACACTGGAAGTCTTTAAGAAGATGTTGGATAACCATTTGTCTGAAATGGAATAGGGTTTCCTCTCTAGGCAGGGGGTTTGACTAGAAGACCTCCAAGGTCCCTTCCAACTCTGTTATTCTATTCTATTCTAACATCGTCTTTGCAAGAAAGAAGATGGCCCACTGTAGCCAGGTTTCCAAATGTGGCACTCATGACTTCTGCTTAGTTGCATTGCTTGCCTCTTTATTCTTGAGCCCAGTTTTAAGGTCTGTTTCCATTTCAGGGTTAAATTGTTGTACTGGCTTGCATTGCTGGGTAATTTTATAATCTTTATTTTAATTGATTTTGTTAAAGATATATTTTAACTATGACTGTTACTGACATACTTACACACAAACGATGTGTATGTACGTATGTCAGTAACAGTCATATTGTGTGTGTGTGTGAAATAATAAGACCTCCCTGAAAATAAGGCCAACTGCTTATTACGAGGGTCAAAAGAAAATAAGACCCTGTCTTATTTTCATGAAAACACGATATGTATATATGTGTGTATGTAAGTGTGTGTGTGTGTGTATATGTATGTTAACCATGACTGTTACAGCCATAAAAGTATATATTTTAACTATGACTGTACTGGAAAGGTTTTATCTTGAGTATTTATTTATGATATGAGTGGGTGGGAATGATTCCAAGTGAGTCTGTGTCTTTGTTGGCATCAAACCTAAACAAACCTGTAACTGATTATATGATTCTTGTTATGAGCCCATTTTCTTAGGAAAGTGCTGGAAATATCTGGAAATATTTTATATCTGGAAATGTTTCATATGTGTATTTGTAAGAATTTGTTTAATCAGATCTAAAAGATAAGAATATTTAAAGCTATAGATGATCTCTTCCCACTGTTGTTTTTCCCCCCCATAAAACTGTACACACTAATAAGGTTATTGGCCATGTTAGAATAAGTTGATCAGATTTATAATCCAATCCATTTCAAGGTCAACCTAGACTAGATAATACAGGTTCAAATTACCCATATATTCTTGAGGTACTCATATGATTTGGGTCACAACTTTTTAAAACTTGGACATGCCACATTTTTCACAGTTTCCATTATCTTTACCCCTCTGCAGAATTACTTTGTGGGACAGCAGTTGCAGTATAAAATATCTCAGTTGCATCCAGGAATGAAATACACAGCTCAGGTTCGTTGTACAACAGATCGTGGTGAAAGGAGTCTGTGGAGCCCAGAACGATACATCCACTTCCATCGTGGTAAGTCAGTCTCTTGAAATCTTTCTGCCAGGGAAAATCAAAAGCTTGGTATTTGACAAAAACGTAGAGCTGAAAATTCACCGAAGTAATATTTAAGGATAGACTTCTGCATTGCATGCAAGTATATTTAATAAAACCTGGTTTTATTAAAGTTGTTAAGACAATCATTGCTCTTGTTAAATCACATGTTGTTTAAGTAAATCTGGCTTCGCCCATTGATTTTGTCAGGCCTGAAAGCCATCTTTTACATTGGGCCTTCAGGCCTGACACATTTCTGCTGTGGGAAAATGGGAGGGGGATTATATGGAGTATGGGAGATATATAGTCTAAATAACATTCTTTTCTCAAAGAGTCAAGGCCACCTTGCCCTGCAGCCGCGATGGTGTGACTGGGAAGCATTTCCAGTTTTGGATGGTGCCTGATTGGATCATGTGATGGATGCTGGGCAGGGACTTGAACTTTCACTTGAGGGGGGAGGGAACCTGGAAACCTTCAGATTCGAGTTTTCCCAGATGTGCCAATATGACATCTGTAATAAAATAGAACTTTGAGGAAATTCAAGCCTCGGAGACGTCTTTCGTTAGGGGTGTTACTTGAAACTCTGAGATTAACCTAAACCTTCTTTAAAAACTCTACCAGCTCCCTCGAACTCCGGGGTGTTGTTTGGAGTCCTGAGCCCCAGCGTGACAGATTTTGCTTGTTGGGAGCTGGCTGGGAAGTTCGCAAATGGTGACCACTCAACCCTGGGATCCACAGCCTTCATACATACCTACCACTTGCTGAAGGCCCAAATTTTGATCACATTATTGTGAGAATGTTGTAACAGTCGTAAGTGTGAGGGTTGGTCATAAGCCACTTTTTTCAGTGGTGTCGTAACGATCGCTCAACAAATAGTTGTAGGCTGCCTAAATGAGGCACAGTGACTAAATACAAGGGTCCTTTCCTTACAGACCAGCCTCCGGGGAAGCCAGTCTTTATAGGATGTCGCTCTCCCGAGAAAGAAACCTTTACTTGTTGGTGGAAGGCAAGCTCTGAGGGAAGTCTCCCAAAAAACTATACGCTGCTCTATAACAGAGAAAGGTAAAAGTTATAAATCGTCTTTTCAATCAGAGGTGAGGAGCCATGATGCCTTTATGACTTGTGGACTTCAACTCCCAGAATTCCCCAGAGGTGGGGAACCATGGTGCCTTTATGACTTGTGGACCTCAACTCCCAGAATTCCTGAGCCAGCATAGCATAGCTGACTCAGGAATTCTGGGAGTTGAAGTCCACAAGTCATAAAAGGGCCATCATTCTCCACCCCTGCTCTAAATGGATTGTTATATAATTTTGTATCTCTACATAAGTTGGCTCTTATCTTTCCCATAGGACAACTTATTGACGTGTTTCCCTTTTTTTTCCTACTTGCATTTTTCAGAGATAAAAAATATTTTGAATGCCCGGACTACACAACAGCAGGTTCCAACTCCTGTTACTTTGATAAAAAGCACACATCGCTTTGGACGACATATAATTTTACTCTAAAGGCAATGAATGAGATGGGGAGTAGTGTGGCAGACCCTTATTACGTGGACGTAGCTAATATAGGTATGCGGTACAAATTCTTCGGAACAGGAAAGATAGCAGAATGTTCAAAAGATCCTGAGAATTCACCCATGTCTTATTGGGTGCCATATTGCCTGCCATTTATAAATGGCAGTCCGCCAATGGTAGCTTTGTTAAGCACCTAACAGATTAAAATAAGTGATGTCTGGATGTTGTCTTAACCTCATTTAATGTCTATGGACATTCTCCGTCACGGTTGTCCCAAAGGTGCTTTTTCAAAAAGCAACTGGACTTTCTTCGTTTTTCCTTGAAGCTTCTTCTCTTCTTGAATGAGAAGCAAAACGTCTTCAAGAAAAAAACAAAGACCAGTTGCCTTTTGAAAAAGCATCCTTGGGACTACCGTGGTGAAGAATGTCCGTAGACATTAAATGAGGTTAAGACAACATCCAGACAGCTGAATGGATTAAACCAGGGGGAAAACATATTAAGTTGGAAGATATGTTTGAAATGGAGGCAGGGGCCTGGATAGAAATTTTAAAAATTAAGCAGTGGAAGAGTGTAGAGGTGGGAGGAATACTTAGATTGGACATCTAAGAAATAGACATAGACAGAGATTTAAGAGAGGAATTTGGGAGGCAAGTAAAAAAAAAAAGCATAGCAATTAAAGTATTGAAGTGGGTGAGAGACGATAACTAGCTGATTTTATTGTTTATTGTTGTTTTGATTCACTTTTCCTTTTTCCTCTCTTTCTTTTAAAGCATAGCAATTAAAGTATGAAGCGGGCAAAAGATGATGTGGATGATTCTGCTTTTCTGTTGTTGTTTTGAGTTGCTTCCCCCCCCCCAACCTTTTCTCTCTCTCTCTTCTTTCTCTCTCTTTTTTTTAGGCAGGTGACATGATTAGAAGTTAGAAAGAAAGAAAGAAAAAGTTTCTCAATAAAGAGTGATACGATTAAAAGCTAGAATAAGGGATAGAAATAAGAGGAATATTAATGTATACATTTTTATCTTATAAAATGAAAGTAATAATGAGAAAATGTGGAATAATTGAATAATGATAGATTGCAACCAGAGGTGGATTGCTAATTTTTTTACTACTGGTTCAGGCGGGCTCCCCTGCATTCATGATGCTACTGCACATGTGCAGAAGCATCCAGGCGGAGCCTCCTGCTGCCGCTACTACAGGTTCACCCAAACCGGCAGCAACACACCTCTGATTGCAACCTAATATAAATGTGTATTGTCATTAGAAATATATAAATTGATTGAATGTAATAATTATGTTTAATCTGATTAGTTTCATTTGGATTGGAATATATGGTACCCAGGTACCATACTGTTCACGCATTGATTTGAAATTTTCATTAAAAAAAGTTTTTTTTAAATTAAAAACTAAAAAAAAAGACAACATCCAGACTGGTTATTCAGGGAGTAGATTCTCTGTGTAAAAGAAAGCCTGAATTTGCAACCAACCACATCATCCTGGCTCATCAGTGGATTGTTGCCATTTCTTTAGCTTCTCACTTCTTCCTGCTGGGGAACCCATTGTTCACAAGCTGGAACTGAGTTCCATCAGCAACAAAAAAAATGACAAAAAGTGAAATCCCTCACTTGGGGAAAGACGAAGTGATCAGAAGACAGTTCCTTTTGCTGCCTCTTGATGGACGCTGTCATCTTCTTACCTCTGCTGATTGTTTAAATGAAAGCAGGGAATCATCTGTAGGAGATTTCTTTCCCCAGTCTAGAGGAAGAGAGAAAGGAGACAATAGGACAATAAGAAGCATCTCTTTTTGATTAATATCTTAATATTCAAGTAGCCAGAAAGGTCTATCTGTATGTTCCATCACAACAGGATAGAAGCGAGGGAAGCTAACTAACAAACCTAGCAGACAACTTTGTTTCCCAAAAGATAGAGAAAGGAACAAGGGGATCAGCCATATTGGACTTACTTCTTACTAACAGAGAGGAAATGATAGAAGGTGTTGAAGCCACAGGAGCCCTGGGGGCAAGTGACCATGCAATATTAGAATTCAACATTATGCAAAAAAAAGTAGTAGAACAAAGTGAAGCTAGAGTCTTGGATTTTAAGAGAGCTAATTTCAATAAACTTAGAGAGAGCTTGGGAAGAATTACATGA